AAAATAGTTCTAGATTCTAGTCTCAAATAGGTTTGGCAGGCAACTCAGTTCAGTTTTTCTTCTCGACTTCCGTTTTAGTTTCCGATTTTGTGTGTATAAATGTCTATGGAGTTAGGCCGGACCACTTCTCCCGAAGAGTGCCCAGGTAGGCCTGTTGAAACTCAAAAACAAATTTTAAAAAATATAAATCAATTCCAAGCATTTTGATATCAAATCAACCAAAAAATTAATAATAAAATAGATCTCAGATGGTAGGCTATTTTTTTTACTCATGGCATGGACCCCTCTCATGTTCAGATTGCCTCTAATTTTTTTTAAGCACTTTTTTGATAATTCTTATCTGCTTTAAACGAATTTTGATTTTGTATATTTGGCATCGTGGAGAAATCAGGCGCTCGTTTAAATAACAAAATTGGAGAAATAGGCAATTTTACGCCAGTTTGTCAATTGTTATTGAATTTTTGTTTATTGTAACACATTTTATGTCTTTAATAAAAACATGTTTCCATGTGAATTTTACTAGCAATGCCCACCGAGCGCATTTTGTTCTGCCGATTTTTGGCCCACGCAGCGGGGGTGTTTCGTGGGACGCACTAACTCAAAGGTTGTTGTCTTCAACTCGCTCTCACGCCGCTTCTCATGAATGGATATTCAATGAATGAAACTTGGCAGCCAATCAGAAAAGAGGTCAATCTCGTAGTATGCAGTTTGACAATATTGTACCCATCCTAGAAGCAGTGGAAAACGTTTGCGAAAGTGGTTGATGTGGTGCGCTTTGAAAGTTTTTCTGAGCTGTGTTTTGTCAAACTGACTGATACGTTGTACACCATTTTTCTTTATTCCCTTAAAATTTCATGCTTCTGTGTTTAGCGGTTTTGGTGTAATCTTTAAAAATGTGGGAGTAACTAAGGGAAAAAGCGACATTGCCATTTGCGCATGCTGGGTGAACGGCCGGTGGCCTGGAAATTTCCACTGAGTGACATCATCAGCCATCTGTCGCCTCGGGCGCTACAAACGAGGCCCCGCTATGTGAAATGGAAAGGGGGGGAAGGATACTTGAAAACTAAACGGGGGCCTTGAGAACTTGCGTTTTTGTTGCATTTTAGTCACAATACAATAGATGTAGTCATTTTTATTTGCTTGATTGCATGACAAGAATAGAAACAGAAAAGCAAACATCTTGAGAAGTGGTATGGCATTGTGTTTGCATTATAAAAGCTTTTTTATTCCCCCCTCTGGGGAAAAGCACACACTTGGACTCGTCCTCTGTGCTCTGTTTGGAAAAGTGAGGCATTAAGATTGTTATTTAAGAGTACGGTACATATTCAGTCCAGTCTGGGAAGATAGTCCCGTTTATACATTGTTATCGTTCAGGCGTGCGTGAGTGCTCGCGCTTGCATGTGTGTGTGTGTGAGTGTGAGAGAGAGAGAGAGAGAGAAGGGAGGGGGGGGGGGGGTGTAAATAATATGTTACTTTTATAGTATGAGTTGTAGCCTACACGTGCGAAATATTCCCATGACTTGTAAACTATATTATCTAAACGCATCTTAATCTACCACACAATAGGACACTGACCAACAATGGATGTACACAGCGTACAGAGACGATTTTATTTTCTATAACAAAGTATGCATGCTTTTACTAGTAGAGAACTGGATTTATTAGACAAATAAATCCAATTCTCTACTTACATTTTTGTGACAAATTGATCCAGATCATTGCTTGGCAAGGAAGAACCTTTTATGTTGTCAAGTTTCATTCAAATATCATGACTTTGGGAGAAGATATGACTGATAATCTTTGTAAATCGGTAAAGAACGCCACTTTTTGACCTGTTAATGTCTTTACAACTCAAAAAGTATGATAGATATTAAAAATCTGACAGCATGACTAGATTTTGCATCAAAAACTGTACTAGACTGCCAAGTTTCATTTACATACTCCAAGAAATAGGCGAGCTATGACAAATATTGTCTCAAAACGCACCGAAAACCGCCACATTTTTACCTATAAACGTCTTCATAACTCAAAAAGTAGGATAGCATTGAAAAATCTGAAAGCAGGACTAGATTCTGCACTAGAAAATGTACTGGGTTGCCAAGTTTCATTTAAATAATCCGAGAAATGAGCGAGTTATGACGAATATATTATATTGTCTCAAAACTCACCAAAGAACGTCCCATATTTTGGGGTTTTTTCATTATATAAAAGTGTACCAAAAATTAATTGATTAAAAAATTCGTAACTTTTTTGTTAATTGATGGATTTCAAAAATTCAAAAAGTTCCATTCTCTGTGGAGATAATGCTACAAAATGCATGTATTTGCAAACACTTTCTGACAAAAAAAGGTTTTTCGTGGTCATTGCTAATTTTACTGAAAAAAGTTGATTAAAGGCACAAAATATGTCATTTTTCTGTTTTCAAGGACTCTCTATTAGAGTTGCCTAAATTTAGCGGCCGTTTAATTTCACCACAGAAACTAGGCGACCTCACCTCTTTCAATTGTAAATATCTTGATCTATTTGAGATAGGTGAGCCATTTTTTTTACTGAATGCAAGGCAAATAAATAAGCTTTCAGATGATACTTATTTAATAACTCCACATGCTCAAAAATTGAAGAGCGCCTGATTCCACCTTGTCGTGACTCATCATTGCAAATTATTTGTTCATGAGATCTATGATTCTTCTACGAACTGTATCACAGTAGGACCTGGCATAGTAATATAATTTGACTTGTTTTTAACAACAGGCAAGCATGCCCCCCCCCCCCCCCCCCCGACCTAAAAAGAGTCTGGGGGGTTTCAGGGGGGCACTGTGTTTTACCATGATCTGATGTTTTGGCAATTAGGTTGGCATTTTCCTGAAAATAATTAATTTGCCAAGGTTTTAGTGGCCAATATGTGTGTTCTGCAGCAAAAATTATAGCAGTTTAGCCCCCAAAAAAGTTCATCTGCGTGCAGGTCTAAAAGTAAAAATTTGCGTAAAAGATTTTGTGCTGTTAAGAAAATGCAAAGCAAAAACTATCTTATTGTCATGGACATAAAATGAAAAAGTACTGTGATTCTGAAGCAGTCAGTGACAGTGGAATGTATTGTAGCCGAAGAATGTGCACGAGCGTGCTTTATATATTTTTGTTTTCTGACCAGTGGACAATGAAATATTATGCGGTTTACAGTAGCACACAACACATGTGTGGATAAGCTTGATTGATAGTTTTCTTAGTTTCAATAGAAATATTACATGACATTCATCTTCATTTTGATACACTGGTTTCGCTGATAATGTACGGTATATTTTTCTATATATGTGAAAGTTCTCAAATTTCTCTTTCAATTTCTTATTTTAACTAATTTGCACTCAATTTATAAATTTATTTAATAATTCTGATATATACAGTTGATAAGCTTATTCACTGCTGAAGAGATTTAGACAATTAAGAGCTAGATACAGAGAATTGACAGTGTGTTCAGTGTTGAATAATCATAATGAACTGAAAGAAGGTCACACCATAGTTCATCAGTTTTGACAAAAATCGCTGATACTGTAAGTCACGTTTTGCTTCAGCCATAGAAGCTATCATGAGACATCTATTAAACACATGACTAGTACAAAAGAAACAACTAAAAGTAAAAGACTATCTTGGGATGTGTTTTGTTTTTCCAAGCTGTGAATAGCCTAGAAAGTTTGTAACTTTAATGACTGACTAGAGGTGTCATCTCTGGTTCAGAGGTTGATGTTTAACAACTTACTAGCCACAATCGTGTTCTGGGTCTTGATGTGCCCTGGTGTACCACACACCCTGCTATTAGTTTCCTAGAGACTATTCGAGTATCTACCTTTCACTTCAGTATTTATTCATCAGCTCACAACACCACTCAAACTTTTACTTCTGAGGGGGGGCCATCCCCAAT